AGCAATCTTCCATGTATGAATACTCACAGGATGCAATGACATATGTTCTCGCATATGGGCTCCTAGATTTATTTATTACATTTACGTGCAATTCTGCTTGGGTTGAAATTAGAGATATTTTGTTACCAGGACAATCATCATCGGATCGTCATGATATTACAGCACGTGTGTTCAAACAAAAATGATAATCTTTACTTGATTTCATTGTGAATCGTCATGTTTTTAGAGAGACACGGTGTTGGGTGTACTCTATTGAATGGCAAAAACGAGGATTGCCACAGGCACACATTCTGATTTGGCTTATTGAAAAAAAACCACCATGCCAAACTGATGAGATATCAGCAGAAATTCTTGATGTCACCATGGATCCAGTCTTATTTCAGATCATTATCCAAAATATGTTTCATGCTCCGTGTGCATCACCATACATGTCTGTTTGAAAATGCACTAATGATATCCTAGAGAATTAACTGCTGAGACTATCACTGGTTTTTTTCACCATTAAATAAAATTTGCATTTCAAATCATAATCGCAAATGTCATTTACACACTTAAATACAAAATTCAAATTCAAATTGAAAGCGTTGCAACGCACGCAGGGTACAGCTAGTACAAATATAATGCAAATAGTTTCTTTGTACAAATGCTTAGAATGTAGTCTTTAAATATAAAAATCTGGGCTGAAAATTTACAACTTCCTTTAGGGATTTCGGAGTCATATTTCACTGGGCTTTTACTTTTTATATGTAAATAGTAATAAATTATTTTCTACAACTTATATATATATTTTCCTTGTATCATTTTTAGTTAGACACTTCGTCTTCTTCCTATGCTAAATGTCTCTTTAAAAGACATAAGAGGGAAATTCGGAACTATATAAAAGGAAATATCTATTTCGTGACTAGGAGAAAGATCAGATTTTTCCTTCTAGAGGGAGCAAGAACTCTTTTTCTTTCTTTTTAGATTGGTAGGTTGTGCTCGTTGCTAGGTTGTGCTCGTTGCTAGGCTGCGCTCGTTTAAAGATGTTATGTTCGTGATTTTTACTTTAAGTATTTATTTTTGTTTTATTAAATTTGTTGCGTAGTTAAAAAAAGATACCTTCAGTAATCCGTTTTAAGCATAAACACGTCAAAATCCTTATTAACCGCTCCCCTGATTATCCCGAGTTAACTCGGGTATTTATGGACTGAAAATATTTATTATCCCGAGTAAACTCGGGCATAGCAGAGTTCGTCATTACGTTTTACTTTATCACGTTTTCATTCGGCTGGAAGAAAGACAAAAAATAATTATCTGCTGCGATTGAAAGTTAAACTATTTTTCTTTGGGAGTTTTGCTATTTGTGGGATTTCAGACGTGTTTAGTACAATTGTAAATACGATGGTTGATGGATTTACACTGAAAAAAGTAATGCAGATGATTTTCCGGATTATGAGGATGTGAATGTATACAAAGACTAGTATTTAACTTTTTTCATTTGCCCGAGATAATTTGGGATAATAAACTGGTAGATTAAATATTTTTTACATTTAAAAAAATAAAATTTCAACTTAGTACGTGGGTATTATATTTTGCTTTAGTTCCTTATTAAAACTCAATTTATAATATAACTTACCTTCATCATCGTTATCTGTAATGTTGCCAAGGAAAAAAACAATGATATTATTAGTTCTCATTACTATAAGTAGAAAAACATTTAATCATACTTATCTATTATTGATTTGATTGTTTGTAAATTTCAGTTCAAATATAATAAAATTACAAAAGTGAAATTTCACTACAATAGACAAGAAAAGCATTTCCTCGCATTTATGTATAATTTATTTAACTCTTGTAAATTAACATTATAGTAAAACAGAAATTAGAAATAGAAACCTTATCATTACAATAATTATTAAAATGCGGATTTAATATTTATGTTATGAGTAATATAGGCGTTTTGAGCAAGGGGATGTTCAACATACCCTATCATTTTCAAATTCAAATAATTGGTGAGTACAAAGCTGTAGCGTGCTACAGTGAAACCTCTGTTTATGGACAGTTTATCAGAAGTAACTAACTCCACACAAAGTGAATGAATCATTGTGTTTCCCTCCAAAAGGCAAAAGTTCTCTTTAAAAAATCGTCTAGTTAAATTGCTTTTAAATTTTCTTTTAAAAGCTTTACAAACGATTCGACATAAATTTTACAATAATGCTAGTGTGCTTTATGGAGAATATAATAACCCAACTAGAGGAATGAATTTTTCTATGGGGACTGAGAGAGGATTAACTAATATTTCTTAATGACTTTTGAAGAATGATTGATTGAGCTCTTCTGATTTCTTTATTGCATGATTGTAGTGTGAAAAAAAATTCTTTTCCTATAGGGCAGCTGGTCGATGTATTAAATAAGTTGTTGTTAGCGCAGATTTTATAACTAAAAAGTAAATTGATGGCAAATTAAATATTTTTTACACATAAAAAAGTAAAATTTCTCTTAGAACTTGTGTATTATATTTTGTATTAGATCCTTATTAAAACTCAATGTATAATATAACTTACATGTATCTTTGAGATCTGTAATGTTGTCAATAAAAAAAACAATTATAATATTAGTTCTCATTACAATAAGTAGAAAAACATTTAATCATACTCATCTACACTGACTGAGCAAAACTCATGGGATACCCACCGAATATCTGGTCGGGCCCCCTCTGGTTCTACGGAGTGCAGCGATACGGCGTGGAAGTGAGTCTGCAAGGCTCTGGAACACGTCCGGAGGTAGTTCGAAGCACACATCCTGCAGAGCGGCAGCCAATTGTGGCTTGTTCGTGGGTTGAGGATTTAATGCCCTGAGCCTGACGTCGAGAGCATCCCAGATATGTTCAATGGGGTTCATATCAGGACTTCGAGGTGGCCAATTCAGTAGTTGGATCTCACCTGCATGCTCGTCGAACCAGGCGCAGACGATATTGGTGCGATGTGGGGCTACGTTGTCATTTTGATACACAGCAATGTCATCAGGGAGTTGAAACATGACAAAAGGGTGGAGATGGTCTCCAAGCAGCTGAAGATACCGCTGACCAGTCAATGTGGCATCCAGAACGACCAGGGGGCTCATTCCATGCCACGAAAATGCACCCCACACCATGACTGATAGGCCACCGGCCTGGACTGTGCCCGCTTGGCATGCTGGATCCATCGCTTCATGCGGTGTGCGCAACACACGGTGCCTCCCATCAGCATGGAACAGTTGATAACGTGATTCGTCAGACCAGATCACGTTACTCCACTGCTGCAGTGTCCATCCGTGGTGATTGGTGGAAAATGCACGCCGAATTGTCCGATGACGCTGAGTTAGCAGCAGCACACGTGTGGGGCGATGGCTCTCATATCCTTAGAACACGTATGTTCCGACGGATTGTCCACTGGGACACGTCTCTATCACGGCCAGTATTGAATTCAGCCGTGATTTGTTGCACATTATCTCTCCTATCTCGAGTTACCACTCGTCTCAGGTTTCGCCCGTCTAGGTCATTTAGGGCCTGTGGACGCCCGATATGATGTCTGTTGTGGATTGTGACACCCTCATTCACCCATTCTCGGTAAACTCTCGACACGGTTGACCTTGGGAAGCCAAATTCCTGAGCCATTTCCAAAATGGAATGTCCCATGCGTCGGGTACCCTCAACCATGCCGCGTTCGAATGCCGTCAACTCACGACGACGTTGCATTTTACCTGATCACTCACACAGACACTTCAAACAATGTCTAACACACAACTGAGGCCGTCGCGGAGGCCACCAGGTGGCGTTAGTCACACGTGCTGTCCATCCACGAATCAGAGTCCTGCTGTCCCATGAGTTTTGCTCAGTCAGTGTATTATTGATTTTATTGCTTGTGAATTACAGTTCAAATATAATAAAAATAAAAAGACAAATCTCACTACAATAGATAAGAAAAGCATTTCCTCATATTTATGTATAATTTATTTAACTCGTGCTAATTAACAATATGGTAAAACAGAAATTAGAAATAGAAACCTTATCATTACAATAATTATTAAAATGCGTATTTAATTTTTATGTTATGTTAGTTATATAGAAGTTTTGAGCAAATGGGATGTTCAACTTGCCCTATCATTTTCAAATTCAAATCATTGGTGCGTACAAAGCTGCTGCATGGTACAGTGAAACCTCTGTTTATGGACAGTTTATCAGAAGTAACTAACTCTACACGAAGCGAATGAATCTTTGTATCTCCCTCCAAAAGGCAAACTCTCTCTTTAAAAAAATCTTTAAGTTAAATTGATTTTCAAATCTTCTTTAAAAAGTTTTAAAATACTCCAAAACGATTAGAGATAAATTTTACAATTAAGCGAGTTTGCTTTATGGAGAATATGATAACCCAATTAGAGGAACGAATATTCCTAAAAAAGACTGAAAGAGGAATAACTAATATTTCTTAATGGCTTTTGAAAAATGATTGATTGCTCTCTTCCGATTTCTTTATTGCATGATTGTAGTGTGAAAAAAATTCTTTTCCTAAAAGGCAGTGGGTCGATATATTTAATAAGTTGGTGTCAGCACAGATTTTATAACTAAAAAGTACTTCAGCCAGGTATTTTATTATGAACTGAATTCATTAGTAACTGAATCCTAAAAGTTACTACAATAGTTCAAAGATGATTGCATGGTTTAAAAAATTATGTCCCATGAAATAGAGATACTTTTCCAGATTTTTTGCAATAAAATTGTGAAAAGTGAATTCTTGTTGTTGGTTGACTAAATGTAATCTTGAAGCGATGAGTTTCCACACACTCACTAAATGACCACAGATGATAAGTTAAGGAAATAGTTCTATTCCTCAAATTTGCAATTAAAATATTAATGCAGAAAGTTGAAAGCAATGTTATCGCCGTAAACTTACTGCAACAGAACAATGTGAAACTTTGTTTTCGAATTAAGCGACAAACTTTTTCTACTCATTATTTTAAAGACATGCTGCAAAATTGTTTTTTGCAAATGACTACCAACATTTTAACCACTCTAACGTTTTTTCTCAGGACATGCAAAATTATTTTGTCATAAGATTTTTTTTCTCTAAGTTTAGTTTTAGTAGCTAAGTATTGTTTAGTTTTTTACAATATTTTGCTAAATTCTTTTTCGCTAAATAGGATGTTTACAGACAAAATGAAAACGTTAATTGATAGAAATGGCATGTATGCAGTTAAAAACATAATTACTTACCAGCCATCACTGTAATTAAATTTGGTTTAATATGACATAAATGAAAGAAATAGTCTTTTTGTGACAATCATTAAATGGTTTTACAAAGTGAAGTGCTGTTAAAGAGATCTTCGATAACAAGGATCACATACTGAAAGTCGCATATTCTAAACAGAAATATGTTCCTTTGAATTATTAATATGATTATAAATATATCTAACGTTGTAACATTGTTTACAGGAAAATTCGATTTATATTATGTTTTTAATAATAATCCTTACAGAGCAAAATTATTTTTTATTTAAGTAGATTGAATACACAATGATCTCTTGTTTTTCTCTTCTGGATAACATAATGAATATCAAACTAGTTGAATATCAGATTTCAATGACTATCACCTCTGAGTATCGGATTTATTGAAATTTTAATTATTCTTAATTTAATATAGTATAGATATAATGAAAGTGTAGGTAATACGGCAGTAGAGGTGATACGGCTAATTTAAATATTCTCGATATTTCTTTTCTATCTGTTACGACTGATGCGATTTAGAAGGAAGCAGTTCAAATTGTTTATCAATTTTGGCAAAGCATTGTTTATTTTATCAGTAAAAAATGTGTAAAATATAAAATTTATTTTGTTCAGGTGTATAATATTTTTTTTGTAAATTAGATTTTTTTGTTTTTTTTTTTTTAATTCGTAGGTTATTTTCGTTTTCAACTAGCTGCAGTTTAAAGGCACATGGAAAGCCCAATCTTCATTTATGTGCAGGAGCAAAGGAACGTAATCGCGGAATGTCGTTACAAATATGGTAGCTATCACATCTTCAATTTTAGAGAGATGACCACAAAATTTGGTCAAATGTTTTCCAATTATTATTATTGAGTATAAACGTATTAAGGATCGTAAACACCTTCAAGAGTTTAAAAAAGTAAGAAAAAATACTTATTCATCTTGAAGCTTCATATTTTTAAATTTATAATTCTAGATGCGAAAATATTGGCTTTTTAAGGTTTCCATTTCGCAGGTTTCAAAATTTTAAGATTAAAGCTTACAAAAAATAAATCTTCAGCTATTTTTATAATAATAATGAATTTTTAAATTTTCGAAAATTATGACTGGATGAAATAGTAGGTGCACGCAGTGGCTCCATGAAACTTGTTCGAATTTTGAAAAACAATATTAAAAAGTCTGATAAAGGTTAATTTTTTTAAAGTGATGGATAAAATAAATGCATTAAAATTTGTTTATATTGTTCTTTTTACTTTATTTCTTAGATGGAACTCTTAAGTTGCAGCATATCTCAAGTTATACATGGTTAACTGCATGAAATGTTTTATTTTCATTACTTCAACTTTGGATTGGATGGCCAATTCACCTCGAAATTAAGGAGAGAAGGCCTCTTGCAAATAGTTTTTATTTCAAGCATTCTTTTCATATTTTATGCGCAATATTTCGCAGTTGTTTGTCCAAAATCGTTTGATTGCATGCATGATAATTTAAAATATTCCTAAACAATTCTTGAATTTCAATTCTTGGTACTTTTATTTCCACTTAAAATACTATAGCTATCTATCCTAAATGTATCCTTTAATTTTTTTAAGTAATATTTACCACGAAGAATAAATATTGCACTGTTGTCATGACGATAATATAAATTTTAATCTCTTGAATTTAAGCATTAAAAAGGAAAAAAAAATTATGCAATGTTGACATCTATGATAAAAAAAACGATTTTACGTTAATCTTCTTAGGAATAGAATTTTAATGTTTCAAAAAAATGCTACTATTTAGTACTATTTTAATGAAATGAATAGAAGCAAAAGAATTTGTAGCAATAATGTTTTATCGAAAAAACAAACAGACATACTTTTTCAAAATTTGGTTAACAACAACATTTATTCTACAAACTTAATTGAAATTATAAAATCATTGAGGTAATTGCATATTGAAATAAATGGAGGTTATTTACATTTTTAGTTATCTAAAACTTCAGTGATCAAAAAATTTTAAGTGATCAAAATTAATATTTTTCCATGTCGGCATCCAATTCTGCCAAGTCTTGTTGCAACCAAAAATTAAATTTCTGTCTGTACTTAATAAACAATTTTAAATTTTATACCAAATCTTCAAGCTTCTCTAATATAGGATTAAAACATAAATATTATATAATAAACGTTCTAATTTCTATAAAAATGTATATAAATTTGAAGTATTATTTAGTAAAAAATAAATTTAAATTATTTAGTGTAATATATTACTTTACGCAAATTTTAGGCCAATTGAATGTAAGAGCAAGTCAATTCCTGTTCTTGATTTCAGTATGAACGTGTCTGTAAAATATATCCGACTACCTCCTATTGGTGAATCTTCTCCGCTTCCTAGTTTCTTATTTTGTAATATGATAACTTTATTACTAAAATAATTTTTTATTATTTTTGTAAGTTATTCGTTATGTACATAACATCTTTCCCTCTTCGAACTTTGTAAGTTACATATTGTGTTCTATTTTGGATTTTACTTGAATTTTAGTGATAATTTAACTTGATTAAATAATGAGAACGAATCAGTCTCACTTTTTGATGATCCTCATTACTTTTGGACTAGTGCTATTAAATTGAAATATTTTGCTTTGTTTCTTTTTATACAATACTAGAAAGGAATTTTCTTTTCTGACGTAATCATGTGAGTTGATGACAAGAATGCATATTATATCGGTGATAATTTTTCTAATTATTATTTAGCTGTTTTATCTGAGTATTTTAAAATTTTTATATTTTAATTTAGATATTTTTAATCCTCTTTTATACATATTCTTTTTTTTATACTTTTTTGCATAACTTTCATTCTTTATATTTTATTTTATGTGTTGTATGTACTTGCAGTTTATGTGCAGTAAATAAAACTTGCAGCACATGTGCACAATTACGAAACAAAATCCCTAACTGTTAAACACTATCCTCTATTTAACGCTTTAATTTTATATTTTGTATTCTAACTACACAAACTAACAACGACTATGTTTTTAAATCATTTTTATAAGATATCAGAAAGTAATTTGGCGTTTGCTCTAGCTTTATATGTTACTTTCCCTGTTTCATTTTGTAATTTTTTTTAATCTGTACTTTCTTACATTTTTGTGTTATGTGCTTATTATGTTTTACTTTAGTATCGATATTTTTGAACTCCGTACATTAATTTATTTATATATTTTGCTTTATACAGTATTAGAAAGCACTATAGTTTGTGGATATAATCGTGTGAGCTGACAACCAGATTAAATATTTCTGTTAATTTTTATAGCTTTTAAATTTTTCTTTAAATTTTAAAAGTTTTTTAAAATAAATTTTTTATTTTAGTGATTTTTCTTCTTTTTCTTCGCTTTTCCTTTTTATCTCTTAGAGTACTTTCTTTAAATTTTTATTTTATGTATCTAATATTTTTTAAATTAAATATCACGCATTTGTTGACTAAAGAGTTAACTTGGCAAGCAAATAAAAATGTAG